TTGGTTGGGATTGATTGTCAGTTCAGATGCAAAATATTGAAAGCAAAAGGTTATACACCATAGATTAATTGGGTACCACGCGTATATATAAGATAGCCGAGTCGGTTTAGAGTTAGTGTTAGGGTTAGGGATAGTGTTTCTTGGTTGTCCACCGGACAATGTCTCAGACCGGTTAGGTTGTCCGTCGCAAATTCTGGTTGTCTCGGACAACCGGACAACGCTTATTTCGAGCACTGTAGACCATATAGGCCTATGAATATATGATGCCGGTTCGCACAGTCCTTTGAAAAGTCCTTGAATTTTAATTGAGGGGATCACTTTCCATAATGAAAAGTACTTGAATTTAGTAAATGTTGATTTTGTGCTTGAAAAGTGCTTAAATTTCATGAAAATGTCCTTGAATTTTTAGAAAGAATCCTTGCCTGTACTTAATTGTAGGCTGTAATAAAAAGAAATTATAATTTGTACCGTACCATCAATAATGTGCAAACCTCAATAAAAATTGTGTTTAATAAATGAGCTTAAAGTTAAAAAGCTATAGACACGATAGACAGTTAAATGATCGACGATCACAAATTACAGCAAGTCAGTAAAATCAGTCAGTAAATCAAGGTATGTTATAGAAGTGACTGTTTAGAAGGGTTAATTAATTAATGTGCTCCAGGTAAGTTTTAGAGGTGACATATGCAGTGATAAGAATGGGGTTATTAAAATAATCCAGGTATGTTTTGTTCTGTGTATGAATACACCCGTTGACAGTTTAACACTGCGCATGCGCTTAGCCTAACTAAGGTCAAATTAAGGTCGGGAGGAGTTTCCGTCCCAGAAAGCGCGAGTAAAATGCGCGAACAATGGCGTTAACGTGTAGTGTGAAGGGCTGCTCAAACGGATCGTATTGGCTTAAGAAAGACTTAGAGCATGAATTGACGATAATTTAAATGTATCAAGTGTCATGTCACTCAGGTCAATCAATTATCTGTGCTCTATTCCCTGCTATGTGCACTGTTCTTCGACACAAAGGTGAGCGACCTGCGTATGCAAGGCAGATAACGCATCGAGATAAACAATATTGCGGAGTTTACTCGCACATCCGGGCTCTCGCGGAGATGCGTAACTATATGGCGCAGAACATAGGCGCAGAACTGTCAATGGGTGTATTCCGATAAAATGTCCAATAAAATGTCCTTGAATTTCCGATAAAATGTCCTTGAAAAGTCGTTAAAAAGTTGAGAAAATTTCAGTCCTGTATGAACCATGTCTAAGACTACAGTAAAGGTGCAGTAAAGGTACAGTAACTTATGAAAAACAAATCTGTTGCCTAATAACGCGGTGTGCCGAAGGCGAAGGTAAACGGCAGAATCTCGTAAGGTCGAGCACGTTAGCATGAAAAGTGAAGTATAGGCCTACAATACCTTTCACAAAATGTGAACTTTCTGACTCTGGGGGAGCATGCCTCTATAGACCCCTTAGCATAGCGTGCACACAATTAAAATGTGCCTCAGTTAATTTTCTGCCCTGGCTACTCCCCTGAGTCCTGACTCAGTGACTGTGTGTGTCACTGTGTCACGTGTGTGTAATGCCTAATCAATGAGTAATATGCATGTGAATTTATATGCAGACTTACTTGAATTTATACCTGGTGAGGTCAATTTGATAATGGCACAGGTCATCAGTGGGGTCACTGAGAGGTCACATTACGGCTATCACGTACCTTTTGTGGGAACTTACCTCATATGAAATACCAGGGTAATTGGTTAAGAAATGTATAAGATATAACTAATTAAGTCACAAAAATGGGTAAAAATCTCCAAAAATGTCCAGTTTTGCTCCTATACCTTCCCATAGTCAAGGATTCCCCAAAATGTGTCAAAATTTCATATAATTTCACACCATGGGGCAAGAATTAATATGTTGAGTCAAATTACCCACCTTATGGTAATGAGGTTTGTTCCTTTTGCATTTTTAGTGTTCGTGAATTGGTCACGAAAGCTGTCAATATCTAATGATGGCTTATTTGAGAACTTGGCGCAAGGATCGTGCTGAGGTGCATGCTTTGGCTGGTAGTAGTGATGAAAATGAACCTGATCAGGTTTACAGAGAAGAGTACGACCAAGACAAACGCCTGTATCCACATATTGAACCTTCTTCACTATCACCAGGACAGAATCTATCTGCTGGTGACCAGTCTTCCGAGTCTGATTTCAGCTCTGGGTTAGATATACAGGGTTCATCAGGAGGGTCAGAAGTTGTGGTGGAGGAGAATGATGATCAAAACATTTCAGTAGAACTTTCAAAATGGGCAACTCGAAATAAGTTGACAAGATCATGTTTGAATGAAATATTGTTGATATTGAGGAAGGAGGGTCATCAGCTTCCTAAAGATGGCCGAACTCTCCTCAAAACACCAAGATCAGTAAACGTTATAAAGAAGTGTGGTGGCGACTATGCTTTTTTTGGACTGGAATCATCCATCATTAATACTTTGCTGAAACATGAACAATTTGTGGAGAATAATGATTCCATTTCACTTAAGGTGAACATTGATGGGGTGCCTCTATTCAAATCGACAAGGGATCAGTTCTGGCCCATACTTGTTGCCTTTGATAACTTTCGCCCAAGTGTTGTAGCATTATTCTGTGGCAAAGCTAAACCAAATCCAGTGGGCGACTTTCTGGCAGATTTTGTGGAAGAATACACACATCTGAGCGAGCATGGACTGACATATGATGGCAAAAACCTTCGTATCTCCATCAAGTGCTTTATATGTGATGCACCTGCCAGGTCCTTTCTGAAGTGTACCAAGGGTCATAGTGGATACCATGCATGTGAAAGGTGCACTATTAAAGGATGGTACGAAGGCAGAGTTGTGTATGATACTGCTCAATCTTTTCCTCAGAGAACTGATGAACACTTTTTGAATAGGGATTACGCAGATCACCAGGTTGGTGTGACACCCCTGATTGAAGTGAGATTTCCTTGTGTGACAGCTTTTGCACTAGACTATATGCACTTGGTTTGCCTTGGTGTCACTCGCAGAATGCTTCATTATATACGAAAGGGACCCAGAATTTGCCGGTTGTCGGCACAGCTTCTGGGCAGAATATCGGATAATCTGGTTTCCCTCAGTGGACAGTTGCCTTCGGAGTTTGCTAGGCAACCTCGATCTCTGGTGGATTTGGATAAGTGGAAGGCGACTGAATTTCGTCAGTTTTTGCTCTACACAGGTCTAGTGGTGTTGAAAGGCATCGTGACACAGAATATGTACGATCATTTTTTGACATTGGCAGTCTCGCTATCATTTCTTCTCGATTCAGATGATGTCAAGCGGAATCATTATCTACCTTATGCTAAGGAGCTGCTACAATATTTCGTTACAAGGTCCAGTGACGTTTACGGGAACACGTTCAATGTGTATAATGTACATAATCTTATTCATCTGAGTGATGATGTGGAACATTTCCAATGTTCTCTCAATGAAGTGTCAGCATTTCCATTTGAAAACAACTTACAAATGATAAAGAAGCTTGTACGCAGTTCCCGTAACCCCATTGCACAGGTTACAAAGAGAATGAGTGAAGCAGAGAAAGCTGGTAATATTCCTGTCTTGAACAATCATTTCAGGTATATGTCATCTAGGAGAAAAGATAGTTGTTTTTTACTGAAAACAGAACAGTTTATCTTCATTCGTGAGAACAGAGAAGATGGCTATTGTGTGTGTGATGTTCTCAGGAATCGCCACCTGGAAAGCTTTTTCATGGACCCATGTGACTCCAAATTGTTGAACATTGTATACATAAGTGAAAATAATATGCACAATGGGAAGAGAAAACTTCTACATCAGTCAGAATTCTACCGGAAGGCTATTAATTTGACATATGGTGATGGCTGTGTGTTGCTGCCTATGCTTCATGGTGAAGAACGACAGTGATCATATCCAGCCATAGCTATAGGCATGTCTAAGATAAACCCATTGATTTGTTTGTGATTTCCTACTGTTTATGTAACATTTCCCCTCATCACCCTATATGTCCATAATGACAATATAGAATTTATTTGGTATTGGTGGTATACTTCTTGTATGCCAAAACTGGCATTGTAAAATATTCCTTGCTAAATTGTTTCATGTACTTGTTTCAATTTTCTGTATTTATAAAACTAAAAACGTTAATGTGTTATTTTCTAATTTATAGTATGTACACCAGAGCAGTGTGGCGCGAGGGGAAGAGAGAGCAGGAGGGCACCATTCCCTCTAACTGGATTAAATCCAAAGAAGTTATGTGGCCACGGGTCGTGGATGCGTCTGCAAAATTCAAATCCAGAGAGGAACCAAGTACAAGTTGGAGAGCGTTTCCTCTCATCAAACTGAAGTTTTCATCAGGTATATTTACAGTAGCAAATGTGTGTGCCATCAAACTATTTTTGATCATTGTAAGGATAAATTGAAGTACAATTTGTGATTGGTGATTTTGTTTCGATTTTTGCCTTTTATATAAATGGCAAACAGGCATGTGATGATTATGACTTGACATCTACAGCAGAAATCACTGATGAAGAAAGTGGTGTGATACGGTTAAAGAAAAAGAAAATGTTTGAAGATTTTGAAATAGGTATGTATTTATGTATATTAATGTGACGGCGGCATAGTTTCGGACTAGTGTCGGAAGGTGGCGCGGTGTTGCCGCATGTGCGAGGCGCGCGCCCTCTCGTTCTCTTGCTTGGCTGACATTGATGTGAGCAGACGTGAGTTAACCGGCGTCTCGTAATAAAGCCGTTCATTACCAAATACCTGTGTTTGTCGATTCATTGTGAGTGCTCCCATGAAGGCATAATAGTCAGCTTTCACATTAACATTTAAAACGGATAGACCTTGCAACAAAAAGCCTATATAAACCTACTAGCTGTGAGCATACTTGCAGTGTGCAAACATCACGAAATATTCTCATTGAGCCAGAAATGTGCTCGAAAGTTGACTATTTTGACAACTCTGTCAGATGCAAGTTATTTGTACGAAGTGCCATATATAACGCAAAATAGTATCTATATGCCATAGCGCAAATATTTGAAGGATTTTGTTGTCATACTATTTTCTGAAGACTGTTTAGATTTTCTGATGAAAAGTTGTGGATGTAGCAATACAAATGAGTTGTATTGAATTTTTGCAACATGTGCTGGGAGGTTGATCAACTTTAATGGGTGCACACACATTAAAGGGTTACCTGGGATTTTTGAACCTACTGCTGTTGAAGAAGTGAACTATTGTTTCGAACTATCAGTTTAGTCTGGTAACAATCCGTCATCCTTTGCAGAGGTAATTTAATGTTGTAATTTGGTAATTGCAAATCACTTTATTCCAGACATGTCACTGTTAGAGAAAGGCGAGACCAGTGAAGAACAGGACAAGACAAGTTCTGGCTTAAAGACAGGCACGTATTTGATTTTTATGCATATCACATAAACATTTATAGTAAAATTTCATTGCCACGTCATGGAAAATAGCTTTGCTGATTTTTATTTTTCCTTTTTTGCAGCATCTTCGTTGCCTCTAGTCCCGAAAAAGTTTGGACTTGAACCAACTATATCTGAATTAATCAGGTCCCCATCTTGCTCCAAATCACGCTCACCATTGAGGTCTCGCTCCAGGTCACGCTCCCCGTTGAGGTCTCGCTCCAGGTCACGCTCCCCGTTGAGGTCTCGCTCCAGGTCACGCTCCCCGTTGAGGTCACGCTCCCTGTCGAGGTCTCGCTCCAGGTCACGCTCCCCGTCAAGGTCACGCTCCCTGTCGAGGTCTCGCTCCAGGTCACGCTCCCCGTCAAGGTCTCGCTCCAGGTCACGCTCCCCGTCAATGTCTCGCTCCAGGTCACGCTCCCTGTTGAGGTCTCGCTCCAGGTCAAGCTTACCATTGACTTCTCGCTTCAGTTCTATCTCTTA